TCGCGAACTGTAGCTGCTGCAACCTCCCTGACGCGATGGGAACGATGATCCTGCCGCACGGCTTCCACCTCCAGTGCATGGGCCAAGGCGTCCTTAAGCGTCTCGTGGTGCCCGAGCCTCACAGCAGCTCTGACTTCAAGGTCGCGGATGCCGTCGATGAATGTCTGCACCATGTTCCCTTCAATGAGCGCAAGTACAGACCGGTATGCTGTTCGCACCACCTTCTACACGTCTAGAGCCCACTGCTGCAGGTTTTCGTAGGTGCGCTGCACGCGATCTTTAAGCTGCGCACGAAAGTCGTCTTCCAGGTGAGCGTCGCCATATCTCGCCTCCAATGCCTCAAGGAGTTGCTCATAAGTCACTTCCTCACCGAGAGCTTCCAGAACTGTTTAGGCCTGGTCGCGCAGGCCTAGTGTGAGAGCAGTCATGGCCTGACTTTTATTCCAGCCGTTCGCCTTCATAACAGCCTCGAACTGGATTTTGTAGGCTGACCAAGAAGAAGTCCCGTCGAACGGTGGCACCTTGAACCCACGTAGCGAAGGTGTAGTAGCTACTCCGGGAGCTGTAGTTCCATCCCCAAGTTTGAGTTCGTCCAGTGATTTCGTCATGTCATCCATTACGTTGTCAACCCGATTGTTCACTTGGTCGATTCGGGTTTCAGCTTTCTCGATTCGGGTTTAAGCTTTCGCGATTTGGGTTTCAGCTTCCGACAGGCGGTTGTCATGCTGAGCAACCCTATCCTTCACCTCCTTTATTTCCTTCCCGAAGGTAGCGTGAAGGTCCTTCATGAGGAGCATCTGCTCTTCCAACCGACGGGCCTGTTCCTCTTGACGGCGGGCTCTCTCCTCGCTTTGTTACCCGACACTAGATTGTGCTAGTGCCAGATGTCAACTTAGCCGCGCAACAATATATTTATTTTGTTTAGTAAATGACATTTATTTTAAAATCGCTTATTTTTCACTTCATGTACTATGCTGGAAACACTTGGTATTTTACGAAAATATTCAGAAAATATGAGCTTTAATGATAATATTATGTTAAAAGTATTCACAGATGAAAATCCACGTTGTTCTTTTGTAGATTTGGCGGTTTTTTGCATGAAAGTACACTGCAATTTGGCTTTTTGGTTAGAGCTCAATTGGCACCATAGATAAATAAATATGTAGCAAGCTAATTGGCACGATCACTTGCGTAATGGCACACTAGACATGTGTCAATCACGAATGATTCTTTTGTTTGAGCTGGTACACTTAAAAGTATTGATGGTTCATTCATTTGTTTTTGAATGCTCCGGTACAACCAATCACAAACAATTAATGGAACCTTTTTAACTAATGATTAAATGTGAATGAGTCGAAACCCGAACGAATCCCGAATGATCTGAATGAATACTTTTAGTGTAGGGTACTAGGGTCCGAAGTTACCATTTCAATGATCGATCTGAATATACCGGTATGAGTGACAAAAAGTACTGGAATTATTCAGTCACGAGAAATGAATGACTGACACACTTCAATAGCGCATGACGCGGCGCAACTAGTTTTATATAACGGGTATGAGTCGGACTCTCGTACCTTTTACGGAGGGGTATGTCTTGCCATGCCGTGTCCTTTGGCTTAATTCTCATAGTTCTGACTTTATGACGGCAAGGCAAAACATCGTTCATAAACCATCGCTCATGAAGAACGATATTAATTTATGAAGATATCGTTCATAAATTAATATCGTTTAAAAGAATTGATGTATTGTTTCATCCCTAGTCGTGCATCGAATAAGTTTCCGTATATACACTCCTATCTATGGAATAAGTGCCCTAACTGCCCTTATAATATATCATAGTAGGTAATATTGCACGTCGTATGGAGTGTAGAGGTAAGGAGTACAGACGGTGTATTAAGAAGTGTCCGTAGAAAACCGTTCGAAAATAAGGGTAATAAATTTTAAAGGACGCGCCGAAAAATATTAGTGAGATAGACCACTTTTTCGAGGTTATATTTACTAAATAAAATTATTTTAGATTTTAGAGCTACTGAGCAGTTAAGCAGCACAGTTCACACCGTCGACAACTGCTAAGTTCATTTCTTGTAGCTGTGTTCCTGTGTGTGTGGAGAGTTCTTGAACTGTTATTTATTGCTTTCAGATGGACACTTTTTCAACAATTCTCCTATCAGAGATTGTTCTCCTTAACTCTACACTCCATAGCACGGTGGTAAGCCTAAATTGACGCCTTCTTTCGCATTCGCACACGTAAAAGATAGATTTATGCATACGTCTTGCATAGAAATAAGATAGAGCGGTGTGATTGTTTGTCCCTTTCTCCGTGCCGGTTTTTTTACTTTAACAGCGTAGCGATTTAAGGAGTTTACAAGTTGAAATAATACTAGTTTTTACGGAATTTATCGCGTATATTTAACTTTTTAATTACCCGACGTTTCGAGAGCTTTACAGCACCCATGGTCACGGGAAGGACTGAGATGTTCAACGTCCAGCTGTCATAGTTAACCGCGGTTACCATAGATTAAAATTTAACTTTTGTTCCGATCTACACAGTATGAACTTATGGTATCATGGAGTTTTGCAGTTGTATGCTTGGGTTGGGATTTAATTTTATTTATTATAGGATCCCAAGCAGATGGTAGCACCCAGCCATCTTCTCTATTGAAATTAGGATGTTTTTTGATTTCAATAGCCTCGCGAATCATCCTTGGAAGGAATCGGTGTTCTTTAGCGAGGATTTGTGGTCTATCAAATCTGATGTAGTGACGGGGGGCGATCCTGTACATGTTCACAGACTGCAGACTTCCCGGAGCGTCGATTCTTCACATCAGCTATATGTTCTTTGACGCGGGTTTTAATTGATCTTTTAGTTTGTCCTATGTAGGAGAGACCACATTCACAATCAAGCTTGTACACTCCTGCATCTTGCAGAGGGACGTTACACTTGACTGATGGTAAAAACTGACCAATCTTCTTCGGCGGCTTGAAGTATGTTTTGATGGAAGCGCGCTTCAAGATATAGCCAATCTTGTCAGTGACTCCTCTAACATATGGCAGTACAGCAGGTACACGCTCGACTGTGGCCGGCTTCACTCGTTCACTGTGACGTAGGCGCGGGACCCGAAGCTTGTTGTCATGCAAAACTTGCTTGACATGTTGGAGCTCGGCAGCCAAGTGTTTACTGTCACAGATCCCTCGTGCTCTCTGAAACAAAGATTTACCCACGGTAGCTAACTGTGAAGGATGGTGGTGAGAATCACCGTTTAAATATCTATCTGTATGGGTCTTTTTTCTATACACAGTATGGTTCAAGGTGTTATCAGGATTCCGAATTACTAACACATCTAGAAAAGCTAAGGAATTGTTTGCCTCTAACTCCTTTGTGAACTGAATTTTAGAATTTATAGAGTTAAGATGGTCTAAAAATGCAGTTACTTTATCTAAAGGTAGAATTGTGAAAGTGTCGTCTACGTACCGCTTGTTGAAACTTGAATTTATGGGAGAAGTAAGCAGGGCTTTCTCCTCAAAGTCTTCCATGAATATGTCGGCGACAATGGGAGATACAGGTGAGCCCATCGCCACACCATCTACTTGCTTGTAGAACTCCTCCTTCCACAATAGGTAGCCAGATGTAAGGCAGTGTCTGAGTAATACTGCATATTCTACGGGCATGTTGTTTTCTTCCAGCCCTCTAGTTACAATTGAGATGCAGTCTTCAACAGGTAAGCATGTAAACAATGACTGCACATCAAAACTGACCATAGTTTCATTGTCTGCCAGACGTAGGTCTTTAATCTCGCTGACAAAATGGTAGGAATCCTTTATGTGTGCTCTTGTATGTCCCCTGAGCGGTGAGAGTATTTTCGCTAAGTGTTGAGCCAATCTGTAAGTTGGTGAATCGATTTGGCTCACTATGGGGCGTAATGGAGCATTGGGCTTGTGTATTTTTGGTAACCCATACAACTTTGGTGATTTGGCGCACGTAGGTATTATCCATTTTACGTCCAGATTTAATTTTAACGAGTTTACAAGTTGGTTTAAGTGAGAAAAAAGTGTTTTGTGAGCTTAAGATTGGTGAATCTTGTTCAGTTCAGTTCTTAGAACAATTAAATTTTTTATCTAAATGTGTTTAAAAGTCATAAAGATTATTGTATAACCAAAAAATTCGTTATCGTCCTTTCTCACTCGAGGCCACGCCGATCATTAGTCTATAGGTTTCTCTGTCTGCGTGGTAAGCGCACTGCACAGTGTACTTTAGGCGTAGACAGAGGATTCTCTGTTAGTACTCTTATTAGTTTGTGATTCTCTGTCTACGTTCTACGACTTTGGGAGAAAAAATAATTCTTTGTCGGCAACACTACGTTAGGATGAATAATTGAAATTACAATAACAACACAATCGCTTATCGCATTAGTAAATAAAAAATGAATTATTAGAAATCGAAGCAAATGTTGTTGTACGATGTTTTGAAATCGAAGTTTGTTGGTCATATGTGAATAATAAAAGTGAAATAAATTATTATTAAGTTAATACACTTGCGTTATAACCATTACATCTATACAATTTGTGGATTCAGGCGTGGCTACTAAAAGATTCTTTCCTAAATGTCAAATTAATTAAGTTTTGTAGTCTCTAGTCCCACAGTCAAAACAAAATTAGATTAACGTTGTGCTTTGTTTTTATTTTCAAGTGTATCTAAAATGATATGCGCAGCACAGAGCACTATTATTACTCACTACGGTGCGCAGTATTCTATTTCGTTTCGAAGTGAAAACTGATTACGATTACAAGCTTTCTTTTTAAATTTGTGCTTTGCGATTTTAGCTCTTAAAGTTTGGGTGCATCGTGGTTTTATTGTGTCGTTATTTACGTATTTTGGTACATATATCCCTTTACTTCTTATTAATTTAATTTGTGCATTTTTGTCTCCGCATTGCCGTGCATGGATAAAAAGCCTTGAAATAACAAACAGTAACAGTAACGGCGGGAAATCTCGTTTCAATATGTTTTCAAAGAAGAAGAAGAAGCCTCTTATTTCACCTCCAAGTAATTTTGAACATAGGGTGCATACAGGCTTTGATAAAAGAGAGGGCAAGTTTGTTGGGTTACCATTGCAATGGGCTTCTCTTGTGGGGAATAATCAGGTAATTTAACTAAATTGTAACCATAACTATATTTCAGAATAATTTACCTAAGTATTGAAAGTTTTTATGTTGGTACTTATGTTTTTTTATTAATTTAATACATGGCACACCTTTAGAATAATTACCCCTAGTTGGCACTTGAACGTTGAAGGTGACTACTGTTCAAAAATCTAGTTTTTTTATATACATATATAAATTTGAGCTGTACTCATTGTGTTGAAGAAAATTAAGTATAAATTTACGATTTTATTAAAAAATCTTGCTTTTTTGACATATTGCACTTTGTTTTAGCAAGTTGTGTTGGAGTATTATAAAACTTAAATATTCTTATTTTTGTTGTATATTGTACATTGTAAATCAAATTAAAAATTACAATTTACTGGTCAAAATTAGTTTTAACCGAATCTGTCAAAAGTATTTTGTTTAAAAAAGTTGAACCTGTTGGAATAAGAAGTATTAGCGACAGAGAGGGTTATCCCTTTAATTAAAAAAATATACTAAATGCTTCAATTTGCTACTCATTAATGAAATATTCAAAAACTTGTAAAAAAATTATCAAAGGCGGCAGGGAAGTTCTCCTCCCTCCCCTTTCCATTACAATATAAAAAGTTAGTAAAGTTACAGCCTATATACGTCCCACTGCTGGGCACAGGCCTCCTCATTTCTGAGAGGGTTTTAGGGCAAGGAAGTGTCCGCTGCGCGGTACCAATGCGTGTTAGTGAACTTCACATGTCTTCGAAATATTTTATTTTATTTCTCAGACATGCAGGTTTCTTCACGATGTTTTCCTTCACCGCCGAGCATGTGGTAAATCAGCACTTAAAATTGCAATTAACAATTGAAATTGAATTACAGCGAGTGCTAACCATCTGAGTTACCATGGCTCTTACTTTTATTACAATATAAAGGGGTAGTTAAACTAAAGGCCTTTTAATGCCATGTTGGGCAGGCAGGTTGGCAATGTTTTTTTTTTAACAAAAAGAAGTTTTTAATTTTGGAATTGTTATTCTTATAAATAAAGATGCTGCTGCTATTAGTACTCATATTAAAATAAACTTATTTTCTAAGTACTTTTTTCCAGATTTTTAAATCAACCAATAGACCTCTTCCATTAGTAGATCCATCTGAAATTACTCCTACTGAAATATTAGATTTAAAAACAATAGTCAGAGGTGAACATAGATCAGCATCTGTTGCATCTATGACACGTCCTCCCTCTACTAATCCAACTTTCATCAACACTCAGCCAGTACAAAATGGAGTTGTTTTACCAAAAACATCAAATGTCGCTCGATCTAATTCTCTGAGAAGTACAAGTCCACCACGCATAAGAAGAGATTTGCGTAATCAAGCTAATGTTCCACCAGCAGTTCCTGAGGAATCTCCTCCAGTGCCACCTGCTCCACAGCAGTATCCTAGTTTACGACGTGAGCAAAGCAATTTTGCTTTAAAAAAGTCAATACCAGAATCACCTGTAGAATGGACACAGTCTTTGCATGAGACTTCTGTAAAGCCAATTTCTGAGCTGAATGATAATCAACAAGCAACAATAACGTACCAAAACATAGAAAATGCTAATGTGCCTTACCAACACAATCATCCACCTCAAACACAGCCAATGCCATATGGAATGCAAGGCCATAACGGAAATTATATAAGTATGTAGCATTCCAATTTGATTTATATGTTATTTTTATGTAAATATATTTATTGTTTAGTAATAAAAATAAAATTTAATAACAAGAATAATTAAAAATAAGTTAGATAAATTTCCTTTGATTTTAAAAATCTTAAGTTTTGACTTATATTTTTATTTTACTTTCAGGTGACTCCTATTCCATAACAAGGCATCAACATGGCATGCCTCCTGGGGCTCCATCCCATTTGCCTCTTGCTGCCTCTAAACATGAGTTGCGTTTAACACATGAACAGGTATTTTATTAAAATATTATTATTAAGAATTAATGGTGAATACATCACTTTTCTTTGATTTGATCATCATTCGAATTCGAAAAGTTATAAAATATAGAATGTTACGAATACATTAAAGTCTGTTGTGGAAGTTTATTACTGACTGATTCAGTGAAATGTTAAGTGGCAACAATGCTCAACGACATAAGTGCCTGGGTTATTTTTATTATATATTATATAGCTATTTTTATTGTTATTTATTGTGTACCACAGGCTAGCCTGGTGGCTAGTCCATAATTTATGGCCAGCTGGCGTATTATTTATGATGAAAAGGAAGAAAGTAAGTCACAATAATCAAAACGCAAAGAAAGCTTAAACAGGACTCAGTATGTTTTCATAAACAGTGCAAACGAACATAAGCAATTTGACAAGTGTGGGATCAATGTAAAATGACAACTTGTTAATGCAAATATTATATGCAAAAAACGACCATATAGGATTTGATATGTAAGCGCCGTAGTGGTCATTTTAACGTGCATGAATAACTATAGCGAAAATCCGTACGAGTTGAGTGATACACTTCTCATTTGTTATATCTTTCTGACTTGTATAGACTGTAATTATTTCGCCCATTCACTCGCCACTCTCTCACTCGCGGCTCAGTCGCCTGGCGAGCGACACGTAGTACGAAATGAACACAGAGCGAAGTAATGTTTCAGATCTAAATGATGCATTTGGAACATTGTTACCGAACCAATCTTTTGAATCACTTTAATGATTCGGGTCAGTGAGTCGGTTCCGTAAAGAGTTACACATGCCTACTCAGTAGTGTTTCACAAAGGGTAGATCTTAAAATGTTCATGTGGATAAGACAAAAATCATGTTTCATATTATACTTATACCGGTAGTTGTTGAGAACACTGCTCAAAGTTGACAAGTATATCTCTGTCATATAGGATTGCTGTTACATCGTAGTCAGACTATGAAAGTGAGGTTATAGATAGTGCACCTGTGCTTGTGCAATATGATCCTGACCTGTAAAGATAGCTAGTGTCCATTAAAACTAGCCGCAGTGACCCAAATTCGGTCTGCTGAACATTATATATTCTAAAAATTGTTATGTGCTATTAAATTTTCTACAAAGTTAACAGAGCTGTACACATCATCGTTGGAGCCACACGCAAGTGTGAGTAACGATCCAAGAGCAAGTCTTATCCGACACTATTCCGATGATATCCCGGACGTCAGTCTAAGCGAGATTAGAATGGCTCTCCAGCACCTTAAAAACGGCAGGGCCCCAGGCGAGGATGGAATTACAGCGGAGCTTCTGAAAGCGGGTGGAACACCGGTACTTGAAGTCCTTCAGAAGCTCTTCAATTCCGTCCTCCATGGTGGCACTACTCCAGAGGCGTGGAGCAGAAGTGCGGTGGTCTTGTTCTTTAAGAAAGGCGACAACGCTCTCTTGAAGAACTACAGACCGATTTCCCTTCTGAGCCGCGTCTACGTGCTGTTTTCGAGAGTCATTACGAATCGTCTCGCACGCAGACTCGACGACTTCCAGCCTCCCGAACAAGCCGGTTTCCGAAAAGGCTTCAGTACCATAGACCACATACATACCCTGCGGCAGATTGTACAGAAGACTGAAGAGTACAATTTGCCACTTTGCCTGGCGTATGTGGACTATGAGAAAGCCTTTGATTCCGTCGAAATTTGGGCGGTGCTGCAGTCCCTTCAGCGGTGCCAAGTTGACTGTCGGTATATCGAAGTGCTGAAGTGTTTGTACAGTAGGGCTACGATGGCTATCCGAGTACAGAACCAGAGCTCGAAACCTATCCAACTGCAGAGAGGTGTAAGACAGGGTGACGTTATATCCCCAAAACTCTTCACCGCTGCTTTGGAAGACGTTTTCAAGCTACTGGACTGGAAAGGATACGGTATTAACATCAATGGCGAGTACATCACTCACCTTCGATTTGCCGACGATATAGTCCTTATGGCAGAATCGCTGGAGGACTTAAGCACTATGCTCAATGACCTCAATAGTGCCTCCCAACGGATAGGTCTTAAGATGAACATGGACAAAACAAAGATTATGTTTAATGTCCATGTCACACCTATGCCGGTAGTTGTTGGGAGCACTATGCTCGAAGTTGTTGACGAGTACGTTTACCTGGGACAAATAGTCCGACTAGGTAAGTCCAACTTCGACCGAGAGGTCAATCGACGGATTCAACTCGGCTGGGCAGCGTTCGGGAAATTACGACATATCTTCTCGTCAGGTATACCTCAATCTCTGAAAACTAAAGTGTACAAGCAGTGCGTGTTGCCAGTGATGACTTACGGATCAGAGACGTGGTCCTTCACTGCTGGCCGTATGAGGACGCTCAAGGTCGCTCAGCGAGCTATGGAGAGGGCTATGCTCGGAGTTTCTCTGCGTGATAGACTCAGAAATGAGGATATCCGCAGTAAAACCAGATTGACCGACGTAGCCCAACGGATTAGTAAGCTGAAGTGGCAATGGGCCGGCCATATAGCTCGAAGAACCGATAACCGATGGGGAAGAAAGGTTCTCGAGTGGCAGCCTCGTACCGGTAGGCGTAGTGTAGGGCGACCCCCCACTAGATGGAGTGACGACCTGGTAAGATATGCAGGAAGTCGATGGATGCAGGTGGCTCAGGACCGTGCTTTGTGGCATTACTTGGGGGAGGCCTATGTTCAGCAGTGGACTTGTGAAGGGCTGTGATGATGATGATGAACAGAAATTCTTCTATTATTTGGATGTTACTGGATCTAGTTTTAGCCTTGCAGAAATGGTATCTCATTATTATTCTTAGTATTAAATATTGGCATTGGCTTTCATTCATACATACAACTTGCCTAAACCAGCAGACAAAGTAAGTGACTTGCCTTCGGAGGCATGTCGGCATACTTTGTCTGGTAGTTTAGAATTTGACTTAAAATATGTTTTACCAAAAAAACAATTATTTTGTTCCATAGTTTCGTGCAGCGCTGCGTCTTGTTGTAAGTGAAGGTGATCCCAAAGCAACCTTGGTAGGTTTTAACAAAATTGGCGAAGGAAGCACGGGCTTTGTGTGTTCTGCCACAGACACGCGCACACGACGTCGTGTCGCAGTCAAGATGATGAATTTAAGAAAGCAACAACGTAGAGAGCTGCTCTTTAATGAAGTGGTAAGAAGTGTTTTGTATTTTCGTATTTCGTACCGATGGTTTTAAGTAACATCATTAAAAAACTGCTTCCCTGATTCTAGGTTTACTAACATTGACTGGCATAGAACTGTAATTTATTATTGAAAAAACAGTTTGCCCAAATTTGTCATAAGCTCTTGGACTAAAAGTATTGAGTAACTGTAATGTGAAAATTAGAAAATAATGCTATGACGAGTTTGTTGTAAATTTCCCAGTTAAAAATAAATACCTAGTATGGCCATAAGTTCTATTACAAATTATAAAATGAACAATATGCGAAATGACGACATTTCGAAGTTTCTGACAAAACAAACACGACATTCCAAATTTGAGTTTAGTAACAAAAAAATTATTTTTCTTGTTAATTTATTTTTAAATTGTAATATTATTTATGGCAGGACTAAGTAATAATAGTTTTAATTAAAAAAAGTTTAACAAAAATATGGTGTTAATGGTAATTTTAATCAAAAGCAGTGTCAAACACTTTTGTATCCATGGATTGTGCAAAACATCATGTATTTAATAAATATCAAGTATTTAAAGGAAGTTATTGTAAAACATGAGTAAAACTGTTTTATAACTGTTTAATATTAGTTTTTAAACTTATTTAAGTTATATTTCTTATACTATTTTCTTGATGTTATTTTTTAATATTGATTTTAAACTTTTAAATATTATCACTTTACAGGTAATAATGCGTGACTACCCTCATGCTAATATAGTTGAAATGCATGCCTCTTACTTGGTAGGGGATGAATTGTGGGTAGTAATGGAGTATATGGCTGGAGGCTCACTCACTGACATAGTGACACGCTCAAGAATGGATCCAGAGCAAATTGCAACTGTTTGTAAACAGTGCCTAAAGGTATGCTATTCATTCACTTTTTTCATAGTATGTGCAGAAGTAGGTCATCAAGATTGTTGAAAGTATCAAAAATAACATATAAGTAGTTGTATGTTTGCTAGTTGTATCCTGTTTTGCTTTTTGTGTATATGTATTGTTAGTGTTATTACTAACACTAACATCATATATTACATCATCATATATTATAACAGTAATTAAAAAGGTAATATTCTGGAGTTATGTAGTGTTATTACTAACACTAACATCCCTGTCTTTATTTGCATAGAATTGATATGAATAATAAGCTTTAGATATTTTTAAAGAAATGAAATATATATCTTTATATATATAAATTATGTGTCACGTTGTTTGTCTGCGATGGACTCTTAAACTACTTAACCAATTTTAATCAAATTTTCACGCCGTGTGCAGTTTGGTCCAACTTGAGAGATATTTTTTTTCCCATGTGTGCTCACAATTTTTTTTGCAAATTTAAGGATTTTTAATAGGACATGACAAAGGGTCGTCGCAAAAGGAAGAAAAACCTCTGCCTAGCAAGATAGTATTATCTATAAAATTACTACTACTACACTATGATACTAGCTTAAACAAATTTTACATTATGTATGTAATTACATTAATTTTAGTCAATTCAATTGAACGTTTTATTTTGTATGTGTTATACGTGATATCTATGTCAGTTGTGAACCAATTTTGATGATTTTTTTAATTAAATGCATAACACTTCAGGGATAGTCTTCTGGGGTATACCACCCCTTGCAATTTAACCTATTTAACAAAAATACACCCTTATACACTTTAGGGTGGCAAAACAAGTGAGGAAGTTATAATGCAACCATATAGACGACATTGATATTGTGATATTTCTTAGTCTGCTCAAAAGCTATAAATTTTTTTTTAGATTTAAATGAAATTAAATGACAGTGTTACCTTAAGTTACTATAATGGCTAGCATGGCTGAATGTTTTTTTTAAATCATGTAAGGTTACTATTTTTTATACAAAAATTTTCCAAATATTTAGTATGTATATGTATTATGTTATTATTACTTTATATATACTTATGCAACTTTTGTTGGTCTTTGTGGATAACTATGTGGAAATTACTATCGGATTTATGTTTAGAAAACAAGAAAGGAATTGTAATTCTCATGTAATTATTAATGTTAGTGATGTTAAAAGTAATCAAGGGGTGTGTAAACATTTTTCTAAATTTCATTTAAATATTAATTACACTTAATATATACATACACATGCAGTGATAACTTGACTAAAAGGGTTTACTATTAATATGATATGTAATTTTTATCTATAAAACTACATGAAATTGATAACTTCCTACCTTAGTACATTATTTACAAATACCTACCTAAGTTTATATTTCTACTGTTTTTCTAAAGTACAGCTTATCATTATAATCAACGACATAACTCAAAACATTATTTTTATTTGTCTATGATTGTTTATTTATATTATGTAATTGTTCTTTGTTTTAAAAGGCGTTTATTATATCATATGGTTATTTTTTTACTCGTGGGAGGTTATAATTTGCCATGTTTAAGATGGGACTACAATGATTGTATTGCGCACGTCGACGGTTCACCTTTTATGGATAATTTTTTAATTCTTTTGTTAATGATTTAGGGTACCTCGGTTAAAAGCAATACCTTTTTAATTACTATTATAATGGTAATATTCTGGATTTATGTATTTGGAATTTGCCATTAGTTGTTAGGACTTCTTAAAGGAAATATCTTGAAATACCTGATTTTAATATACAACCATTTAAAAACGTAAACATCCGCGTTTTAACTTTTTTAAATGTGACATTGAGCAATTGAATAATTACTTTGGAAATATTAATTGGCACTCATAATTAAATGACGCCGATACAAGAATGAAGCTGTAGATATTTTTATAGTAAATTACATGAATGCTTTTCTATTTACTTACCCATTGATATGTATTCTAACAACCGACATCATTATTCTGTATGGTATTCTTATTTTTTAATAAAAATCGTTCGCGAAAAATGGTGATCTCAATGTAATTGGAAAAAATACCGTAACCCAAGAGATTATGATGAATTTTGCTTTTAAGAGCGCGACACCAACGCGTTAAGAGGCCGTGCAGAAAATTTATTCGATAGAGTTTAGGCAAATTCGTTGCGGTGCTATCGTTTACGTACACACGGCTAAAGACCGAGCGCAGTGCTCGCTTAAACAATTTTGATCCTTTATTTGATAATTATTTTAGGATACATAGTAAGTACGGTTTAGAAATAAAAGTCTGGGATGTTTTTGTATAATAGTTTAGTATATTTATTACAATCAACTTAAAATGAAAATAAAAAAGAAATGTGTTAGACAAATACACTATGCATATATATTTAAGTAATTCAATGTTTTCGATCTGCGATGTCATTAATGTCTGCTAGAGAGTACAGGCAAATTTAATAAAAAATAAAAATATAAATTTATATTTTTATTTTTTATTATAATGGATTTCCGCAAAGTAACGCCTGATTCTATCAATTAACAGACAAATGTAACATGTCTTATTGGTATTTGCCTGAAAATCAAACATCGTGATTTCATTAAAACAAAGTTTTTGTAAATGCAAAACATTTAAATTTAAATATTAGGCCGTATATGAGAAACGAATGTTAAAGGGATAAATAAAATACAGAGCACGAGTGCGTGACGTACACGTCAAGTAAATACTTTGATTTTAAAATTGATAATACTCGTTTCTTTTATAATATTGTTGCGCGAATAAGTCGATGTCATGTATCCGGAACTAGCGCCATCTAGTATCAGGGACGAGAGCGAGGGGAGCTTTCCAGAAAATGACATCACTAATCTTTCAACCGACAGCGCCATCTAGTCTCGGAACGAAGAACTAAGCTTCTAGAATTCGGCACTCGAACTCTCGGCCCCTTGCGCATGTTTACTTGAATATTCTGGATGTTTCGGTGCTAATTTGTATTTATAGGCGCTGCGAGATGCGATCGGGGAAGTATTGAATTCGGCGAGACTAGCGAAGCTTCGGAGCGGAATAAAGTGAATCAGTGTGCTTAATAATTTAGACAGGCCTGTTGGTCTAGTGGTTAGTGACCCTGACTGCTATGCCAGAGGTGGTAGGTTCGATTCCCACCCAGGACAAATGTTTGTGTGATGAGCACGATCATTTGTTCTGTGTCTGGGTGTAATTTATCTATAATATTTATGTATTTAGAAATATATAAGTATGTTTATCAGTTATCTAGTACCCATAACACAAGCTCTGCTTAGCTTGGGACTTAGATGGCGTTGTGTGATAGTTGTGGAATATTATTATTATTATTATTAATTATTAGTGTTTTAAGTCTTAATTTGTGTAAAGAAAATTAAAGTGTTAATTTAGGCAATTTTATCGGCAATTTTTATTGACACGAACCTCAAACTCGTAACAATTGGTGTCAGAAGTGGGATTAAATCATGCCGATTTTACCTAAGGAGGAAATGGAGGGTGTCCGTACCCGAAGTCAAAGCCAGCAGGAGACGGACCAGAGGAGATTTGGTGGTGCAACACCGCAGACGTCGGAGGGCCAACTGCCAGCCACGGAGGCTGGCCCGTCAGCAGCTCCTACACCTGCAGCACCTGACTTAGGTGCTCTCATAACCCCTGGGAAGGGTGATCGCTACCAGGCTATTTCTAATTTGTCTTGTGTTGCTAATTGTAAACATGATTGTAAGCTATTATTGGAAAAAAAATAGTCCCGCTGGGTTTCTTGCTGGTTCTTCCCAGGACAGAGGTTGTTTTTTGCGAACCAGTGGTAAATGGAAAAAAATGACTTTCAATAAGTATTTGTTATAATCTACATTGAATAAAAAAGTTTCTGTTTCTGTTTCTGTTTCTCATGATGATGCTGCAGGAGCAGGCTCGCCGGCAGGAGGAACAGGCCCGCCGATTGGAAGAGCAGCTGCAGGGCGGACAAGAGGAACAGGCCCGTCGGTTGGAAGAACAGATGCTCCTTATGAAGGACCTTCACGGACCTTCGGGAAAGAGATACGGGAGGTGAAGGATAAGGTTGCTCAACATGACAACCGCCTGTTGGAAGCTGAAACCCGAATCGACTAAGTAAACAATCGGGTTGACAACGTAATGGCTGACGTGAAGAAAACGCTGGATGACCTCAAACTTGGGGATGGAACAACAGCTCCCGTAGTAGCTACAACACCTTCGCTACGTGGATTCAAAGTGCCGCCGTTCGACGGGACTTCTTCCTGGTCGTCCTACAAAATCCAGTTCGAGGCTGTTATGAAGGCGAACGGCTGGAATAAAAGTCAGGCCATGACTGCTCTCACACTAGGCCTGCGCGACCAGGCCTTTACAGTTCTGGAAGCTCTCGGTGAGGGAGTGACTTATGAGCAACTCCTTGAGGCATTGGAGGCGAGATATGGTGACGCCCACCTGGAACACGTCTTTCGTGCGCAGCTTAAAGATCGCGTGCAGCGCATCAACGAAAACCTGCAGCAATGGGCTCTAGAGGTGGAGAAGCTGTTGCGAAAACCATACCGATCTGTACCTGCGCTCAGTGAAGGGAACCTGGTGCAGACATTCATCGACGGCATCCGCGACCTGGAAGTCAGAGCTGCTGTGAGGCTCGGGCACCACGAGACGCTTAAGGACGCCTTGGCCCATGCACTGGAGGTGGAAGCCGTGCGGCAGGATCATCGTTCCCATCGCGTCAGGGAGGTTGCAGCAGCTACAGTTAGGGACCGCAACAGAGGATACAGCCCTAGGTGCTATGGCTGTGGGGAAAGGGGCCATCTTCGATCCAGCTGCCCTAAGCGAACTGTAGAAAGGGAAGTTGATCGATCTCGGGAGGGTAGTGCGGCTAACAGCACCGCCCAGCAGCAGCAGAGAAACGAGTAAAAGCCAGAACTGCGGGGCGGGTGCTGGCATATGTTAAAAGAGCCCCAAGGATCTCGATCTCACAAACCCATGATGGGAGCA